TACTCAGCTCACTGTTGTGGCTGGCAATAAAGTCTTGTAGTACCACAGTTAGTTCACATCCTCCAGACAGCTGTGAGGGGAGAAAATGAGAATAGGAAAGAGGAGAAATGTAGTCACATTGTGATATTTAATATTACATTTGATTTCACTATCCATAATCATAGATGACTCATCAAGAGTCTCTTCTCTAGAGAGTTGTTCTAGAGTTGTTCTCACTTTGCAGCCCTATGATCTCTAAATGCTAACTGAAGTTGCATCTACAATGCACAAATAATCCACTTTGACATCACTTTAACTGCATGGCTCAGTGCAGTGGAATTCTGAGATTTGTAGTTTGTTGTGGCACCAGAGTGCTCTGACAGAGAAGGGTAAATGTCTCACAAAACTACAATTCTCAGAATTCCATAGCACTGAGCCTTAACAGTTAAAGTTACATCAAACTAGATTATTTTGACAATGTGGATACATTCTGAATAGATTATTTGACATCCTGTTATCAGTGATAGCTATGTCCATATAATCTGAGAGCTAAACTAGATGCGATGTAGGATAAATCTGATTACTACCTCCTTCTGAAATAATAACAAATAGCAATTATGGGAGTCAGAATCCAATTGCGGGTTCAACATTGGGGTGGAATGGGATAAATTCTCTCCCCACGCCATTTAAGAATTAACCTCCCCCAGCTGAAATTGCTCTTTGTCCAAAAGGAAAAATCTTACAGATGTCAGACAGCTGATTGTGTGCTTGTCCCCTTGAGAAGACAATAGCAACTTTGGGACACCTTTTAATAAGGGGCAAAAGCTCAAATCAACCTCCTCCAGCACTATGGTTCTCAACTGATTTGTTCATGCAAACACATAAAATAAACATTTATTTTTCTTCTTAATGCATAATGTTTTGAAGGTGTATTTCCCATATCATGTCTACGTACTTTTGCAAAGTAGGTGGGAAAAAATATACATTGGAAGAGCACATGACACCTTAAAGCCAAGCAAGGTTCAGATCCTAGCCAAGACTTTGATGAGAGACTATAAGAAACAAAACAAAGGGATCCTTAATTAAATGGTATGCTTGAACAAGCTCTCTGTCTGCAATTAGTTTGCAGCTACCATGACATCCATGGTGTCATTGTGTTCCAATTTATGTTTCTAAGAGTTCCCCATAATCTCTTTTTCCTTGAAAAGGAATAGTTATGGCACAATGGCTAGTTTTAATATGATGGAGCCCATGAGGCAACTCCTCCTCTTGGGAGACAGAATGATTATTACTATAATTGTTAGCTAAAGAGTGTCATCAGTGTAAATGGTGCATTACAAAATTAAATAAAGCAAACACTTGCTTTAAGAGTTTGCTATCCAAGACTGAGACAAAGGAGATAACATAGCAAAGCAACACTGGAAAAAAGTACATTCAGAAACACAAATATTGCCAAAAGCAATCTATACAAGATTGAACACAATGGTGTAGTAGTGGTAGTGGAAACAATGTCAAGAGGATATTTCTCAGTATATATATTTCAATGCTGCCTTAATTAACAGACAAGGCTTTTGTGTTGTCCCTTATTAAGTTTCCGCTTCAGTTTAAGATTGAATCAAACATACAGACCATTGAGTGAAAAGATAAGAGAATAGGTCTATTACAAAATAAATAGTTTTTATCATTTTTTAATGGGAAGACTGGAGCAAATCTGCATGGATAACCAAATGGCAGGCTATCACAGGGACCCTATTTTATAATTATTTGCATTCTAGTCTATCTTGTTACAACCTATAGTTAAAACAAAAATGTCATAACATGTAAACTTGCAGTGATTAATAAACTGAGAAAGAAAGCAAAAGTCAGCCCAAGCCCTTACAATGAGACAAGATCTGTTACACACCAATTATCTAAATAGAATAATTCTTGTAATAGAAAATATGATTGAATCTATACTTTTGGCACATGCAAGGAATTCTAATTTTAAATATGCATGCAGCGAAAAGGAATTGTTTCAGTCATGTTGATCTCAATGGTCCACATTGCTCATAGGTACCAGCATGGTGTGCAAACATAGTGCAAACTTCCAGTAAATAATAAATTGTGCACCAGCTGCACCTATTCCTTGAGTTGTCAGATCTGGCCATGGTGGTACGTGGCTTAGTTACATCTTATTTGAACTACTGTAACACACTCTATTGGGGCTCCCTTTGAAGAGTGTTGAGAAACTTCAGCTGGTCCAAAGAGCAGCAACCAGACTGTTAACTAGGGCAGATTGTATGTTGTGCTGTTTGCCTTTCCAACTTATGGCAGCCCTAAGGTGAACCTATCACAGGGTTTTCTTGGCAGAGACCATATTATGCCCTTGTTGAAACAGCTCCACTGGCTGCTAGTTTGTCTCCAGGAACAAATCAAAGTGCTAGTGATGGCCTATACAGCCCTATATGGCTCAGGTCCGGTCTATTTGGCAGATCACGGGCCTCGGCAGACGGCTAATAGAGCCGTCTTCCGGGCCCAGAAGAGGAGGGGCAGCCACACGAGCTGCGCCCCTTCCTCTTCCTGAGGTCGCCCTCGGAGTCGCCGGCTGTCTGCACAGCCGGTGCTCCGGGGATGACCTCACGCCGCGGCGACTGCACGTGCCGCGCCGTTTGAGTCAGGGAAAGTGTGCCTGCCGCTTTTAGGGCGCACTTTCCCTGAAATCTAAAAGGAGCGCCAATTTGGAGCTCCTTTTAGATTCGCCGGAGGTGCACCGCGGTGCGGCTGCTGCGGTCCAGCGGCGCACTGTCCTGCGGCGCACGGGAAGCTCCCGTCTGCTTCCCCCCCACATCTCCCTGTATGAGCCAGCCTGGGTTGTGAGATCATTAGGAGAGGCCCTTCTCTCAGTCCCACCACCATCACAAGCACAGTTGATGGCAACACGAGAGAGGACCTTTTTGGCAGCTGCCCCAGACTCTAGAACTCCCTTCCCAGGAAGGTCAGAATGGCCCTCTCTTTTTTGTTCTTTTGGCGGCAGGCTAAATCCCTTTTATTCAGACAGGCTTTTAAAATATAAAGTTTTAAAAGAACAGCCTTGGAGGTGCTGTATTGTTTTTAATGAATTTTTTATCTTTTAACTCTTAATCTTTTAATGTTCAGGTGAATTGTTTTAATATTGTAAGTAGTTTAATTCTATTTTAGTGTTAACTTTTTGTATGTTTTTAATTGTATTTTTTTTTAAATTCTAAGTTGCATTGAGTCCCAATTCTGGGGGCAGGGCAGAAAGTGGGATACAAATAAATATAAGAGAAGCAGCAACAGATTTATGAGAGGGAACATGATTTTGTCCTCAGGGAAACACTTGCCTTTTGCAGTGTGATTTCTTGTTTTTGAGCCATATAGTACCAAATTAAGTGGCTTCAGAACTTATTATCTAGACTCTGCAGAGTAACAGGAGCCAATGCACTTTTGGTGTATGCATTCCTACTTCCTTTCTTCAGTCTTGTTTTCTTGCCTGCTTCTTTCTGACTAGTTTCACCGTATCATCTCTCTGACAAAGCCTGGCAAACCATTTTGGAACAAACAGCTTGGCTCAACATGTATGTGACTACGGTATATCTTTTGATTTCCAGTACCACTGAAGACAAGATGCAGGCATCATTTCTTTGGATTCGTATTCAGTGGCTCCTAGTTTCCATATTTCCATAATCCAACAAAATACAAATACTATATATTTTTAAAAATTGACAAATTCAGTTCAAGAAAACTGAAGTACAGCTTGTATGTATTGAAAAAGAAAACCACTAGGTGTCCATGTTTGCTATATTATGGAATCTAGGAGCCTGTATCAAGCCATTCTGTTTTGAACTGAGTGCCCAAATGAGAGAGAGGGAGTACTATATCCCCAGACAGTGTATACTATAGGATGCTCAATTAGCAAAAATTGGATTTATCTGGAAGACAAGACTCATCCATTCTTTCCAGTTGGTGTTACAAAGGCTGAGAAATAGGTGCTATTAATAGGTCTTCAGTGGTAGTGGAAATCAAAAGGCATAATCATACACGTGCTCATTCCAAAATGGTTTGCCAAGCTTTGTCAGAGAGATGATATGGTGAAACCGGTCAGAAAGAAGCAGGCAGGAAAACAAGACTGAAGAAGGGAAGTAGGAATGCATTCACCAATGGTGTATTGGTTCCAGTTACTCTACAGAGTCCAAATAACAAGTTCTGAAGCCACCTGATTTCATTCAAGTTTTGGAAAAACATTGCAATTTATACTGTTATAAATAGTGAAGTATAAAGTAAACTTACATACATGAAGTATAAAGTAAATCAACCCCACTAAAAACTAAATCAAGCCAGGTGGCAGAATTCCTAGAAATTCACAAGTCTTCAACTGCACAAGTTCAGCATCTTGTTGTCAGCTACTATGTAAAAGACACCTTCATTAGAGTCCTAAAATTAGTTAAAGTTTTTCAGCAGGGATGGGAATCATGCAGCCATGTCTGTTTCTGCACTCCCCAGACCCCTGCTGGACATTACAGATGCTCACAAACACACATTCCCAGTGAACATGTGGCCAGAAATGAGAATTGCTGTTTCTGGAAGCTTCCAAGAGTAGCAATTCTGCTTTACAACCTCTCCTGAGCTTTATTACACCTACCCCAAAGATGTTTTCACAAAGCCAGAAGTGGTGTATCAATTCTGGGATTTGGTGGATCCCAGTTCTCCAACCCTAACTTATAGTTACAGAGTAGGTCTGTAGAAAACAGAAATAGCATTTTCTAAATGTTCAAAAGTTACCTAAGCAAGACTTGTGCTGACCATGGGCCCTTGACTATTTTTGTATACCCTACAGAATTCCCCCATTTTCTGATTGTAATATTATTGTTTTATGCCTTCAAATAATTTCCATGTTATGCCAACCCTAAGGTGATGCTATCAAAGAGTTTTCTTAACAAGATATATTCAGAGTGGTTGTTGTCTTTGCCTTCCTCTGAAACTTAGAGTGTGTGACTTGCCCAAGGTCATCCAGCGGGTTTCCATGGCCAAGCGGGCATTTGAACCCTGGTCTCCAGAGTCATAGTCCAATGCTCAAACCACTACACCACACTGGCACCATTGCTATTCTACTGTATTACACACACACACACACACACACCAGTTGTGACTTCCTGGGAAATTACTCTCAGATGCATAGTAGTACAGTAAACATCCAAAGCTTCCCCATCAATTATTTGTGACCCTCATGCCTCAGACAAGGACTAGCGTAAAAATCAATTTATGACATGGCTCTTGTCAATAGCTTATTACATTTTTAATGCTCTGAGACAAGACCAGTTTGGGCTGGAGCACAGCACATCTGAACTCTAGCACATCCATATTCTTTGACCCCGATCTACTGTTACTAAAAGATATTGTCTCATCTTTTCTCATTTGTTAAATGTCACTCAAGGTACAAATCAAGCCATGACTCCATCATAGTGGGGTGAAGGGCCAAGATAATGCCACCTAAGTTCGCAAAGGACGGAAAGTGATTTCGAGTGAAGAGTTGTTTGAACAGCATTTGAAGTTTTATATGCAGGGTCATGCTACACTTCTAGCCTTCCAGAAACACTGCTGAGCCTTTCCATACACTCTTTTTTGAACATACAGTAAAGTATCATCCATAAAGTGATCTTTCTAAATATAACCTCAATTTTAGCTGGGGATGAGGAGAAATTAATTGTCTGACTCTTTTCCCTCCTTCAGCCCCCTTACATGCTTGAGCAGGGATTTGATCCCTGGTCTGAAGAGTCATAGTCCAGTGCTCAAACCACACTACTTCTCTCTAAACATGCACACTCAGAAATATTTGTCTCCAAAGAAATGAAAGCAGGAACAAAGGTCAGCAGCCTCTCTCCCTCAGTCCGCTTTCACACCTAGCTATGGGACAGAGATGGCTTTGGCTGCCCTGGTGGATGACCCATATTGGGAGGTAGATGGGGCAGTGCATTGGTTCTGCTGGACCTCTTAGTGGCTTTCAGTACCACTGACTATGGTATCCCTTTACTCTGGGTCACTTTATTGGGATGAGACTTGGGGGCATTGTTTTGCAGTTACTTCATTCCTTCTTGGAGGTGGTCTGGGATCTGAGGGATTCCTGTTCAATCCCTTGGCCATTGGCCAGTTGGGTCCTTCAGGGTTTGGCTCTGTCCCCCATGTTATTAACATATACATTAAACCTCTGGGAGAAGTTGTCCATAGTTTTGGGGTTTGGTGCCATCAGTATGAGGATGAAACCAACTCTATTACTCCTTTTCACCACAAGCCAAGGAAACTTTTTTGGCCCATTTGAGTTGAAGGTTTGGCTAGGAAAAGAAACCCACTCTTTCTCTTTCTCTTTCCTCCCTCCCTCCCTCGGTGGCTCCTCAGTGGCCCAAATCCCTTGCCATTGGGCTCTCAGTGACTTCATGTGATGCCAGCCTTAAATGCAAGCACAAGGCTCTGGCACTAAAAGCACTCATATATAAATGTCAATTCATGCTTCTTAGTCCTGCTCCAAATGGAGGACCCTTTCTATTTCCTTCTGGACAGAAGGTGCAAATGGAGGATGTTCTCTGGGAAAGGAAAACGACCTCTTGTCACCCTGACCTGGAGTCATTTCCCCAGTCTTTCCATTTAAACAATGGTTGTGAGAGTGGGGGAAAATATCGACAGCTGTGGGGAGGGGATGGAGCCCCAAACTTTTTAACTTGGGTCCAACCCCAAAACCAGGGTGACCCAATATCCTCACCACCAAGGAGGACAAGGCTCCCCCTTCTCTGGATACGCCTCACTCTTCCTCTTGTTGAGAATGGTTGGACAGTGGTGGCAGTGGCAAAGGAGGAAGAAGAGGACCCAGGTCTCATGCTGCTGCTCCTGTCACCGCTGGATCTGCTCCCACTGCCCACCAAGGAGGAGGAGAGGAGCAGCACTGTCCCCTTGGAATCATCCATGAGTGCTGCAGAGACCTCCTCCTCCCCACTGATGACACAATTTGATTGACATCAGTACAAACCAAGTGGGAACAACAATCATGACAAAAAAGACACAAATTCATGGGAACTATGCATCAGACAGAATTGATTCAGAGACCCAGTGTCAATGCGACTTGCAGAGTGATTTAAATGCAAGTGGGAATGGCATCATAGTTAGGACAGCTCACCTGTTTCACATGAACATAAAGACTGAGGAAGCATTCAGTTAAGCAGTTGTTGAAAGCCATTGCAGAGAGCCAAATGCAGGAGCTATTTTTGATATTTCATAGACTCATAGAATCATAGAGTTGGAAGAGACCACAAGGGCTATCCAGTCGAACCCCCTGCCATGCAGGAACTCAAAATCAAAGCATCCCCGACAGATGGCCATCCAGCCTCTTGTTTAAAGACCTCCAAAGAAGGAGACTCCACCAGACTCTGAGGGAGTGTGATCCACTGTCGAACAGCTCTCACTGTCAGGAAGTGCCTCCTAATGTTGAGGTGGAATCTCTTTTCCTGTAGCTGTTCTCTGGAGCAGCAGAAAACAAGCTAGCTCCCTCCTCAATATGATATCCCTTCAAATATTTAAAGAGGGCTATCATATCCCCTCATAGCCATCTCTTCTCCAGGCTAAACATACCCAGTTCCCTAAGTTGTTCTTCATAGGGCATGGTTTTCAGACCCTTCACCATTTTAGTCATCCTCCTCTGGACACATTCTAGTTTTACATTCTTCTTGAATTGTGGTGCCCAGAACTGGACACAGTATTCCAGGTGGGACTTGACCAAAGCAGAATACAGTGGCACTATTACTTCCCTTGATCTAGATACTATACTTCTGTTAATGCAGCCTAAAAACTTATTGGTCTTTTTAGCTGCGGCATCACACTGTTGACTCATGTTCAACTTGTGGTCTACTAGGACTCCTAGATCCCTTTCACACATTAAGCCATGTGTTCCCCATCGTATATCTATGTAATTCATTTTTTTGCCCTAAGTGCAGTAACTTACATTTCTCTGTGCTGAAATTCATTTTGTTAGCTTTGGCCCAGCTTGGGGTATTAGCTATTCCTCCTAATTTGGTGTCATTTGCAAATCTGAGAAGCATGTCCCCTATTCCTTCATCCAAGTCATTGAT